GAGGCTTGTACTGCCTACCTGACCGCCCTATGCTGCCCAATGGCACAGTCATGTACACACTACCAGTAGTTCAGTGCCACCTGGCAGCAAGACATGCACTACAGCCCTGTCATAAACACAGCTGACCCACAGTGCACATCAAACAATCATGGTTCTCAAATATAGATTTTTTTAGCTCTGAAAATATAAAAGCCAAACTACAGATAATATGAATATGAGAATGAGAGTACTGTAGTAAAGTTTCTTACAGAGTATATACTCAGTATTGACAGTTGTTAAATGACACAAAAAGATACACCACTTATAATGAAAATCAGCATTATTAAGAAAATAATTTGACAGATTACAATAACAGGGAGGTAGGTAATGTAAGCTACAATCAACATTTGGAATAAATATTCAAAGTGATATCTAAAGTTGATTAATCAAACAACAGTGAAATAAGTGAATTCACTGCGAGCCTGCACTACAGTGATACCTTGTCTCAGGAACAAAGGAAGGAAGGAAGGAAGGAAGAAAGGAAGGAAGGAAGGAGACAGACTATTTATAAAACATCTGCTAAAAGAATTAAAAGCAGGACTGGCCAGATAGCTCTGCAGATTAAAGCGCCTGCTTAGGCAGATGCAGGGGCCGGGGTTCAATCCTGGTCCTGCCATGCAGGTCCCTCCCAGGCCATGCTGAGCCAATGACTGAGAATGGGCGTGGTGGCACGCACTTGGGAGGCTGAAAAACAGGAAGGCAATCTGTGTAGTGAGATCCATATATCCTGTAGTAAATACATTTTTAAAAAAAGAATTCAAAGTCATTACTTTCAATCCCCAGTTCCGCCAAAAAAAAAAAAAAGTCATTACTTTTGACAGTAGGTCTGGAGGTCGGAAAGGGGTTATACTACCTCTCTCTTCTAGTTCTTTCTAACTACAAGGACACAAATTTCCTCTGATAAAATAAATATGAAATTAGATTTCAAAAAACAAAGCTAATAGTTATCAAGACTAGGCTAGTTTAAATTCGATCTATGAGTGTCTCTAAAGAAAATAAAGGTAAGCATTTTTAGACACTTAAATGCTACAATTGGACATAAGACAATGACTGGCTAGTGGTAAATCATGTTACTTAACAGCTGTAGGTAATCAAAGCACAACACTGGAAGAAGTGAATTAAGCTTCCTCAGCAAGGAGACTTGAACCATTTAAAGCAGTGAATATTAGGGGAAGAAGAAAGCTAACCAACATATATCATGTCTATTTTATGAACAGCTCTTCAACATGAAAAGCTTACTCTTTTTCTCTTTCTCCAGAGTCTCCCTCTCCCTTCGTTTGTCAATTATCTCGCCTTCACATAGTGCCTTTTCATCTTGAACTCGTCTCAGGTCATTTGTAATAGCATCAATCTGAGGCTGAAGATTCTCACAGTTTTCTGTAGTCCTTAGTTCATTTTGCAAATCCTCTATCATTTTACGAGTATTACTTATTCTCTTCTGTCGGTCATGCTCTTCGTTTTGTTTTACTGTTAAAGCTTGCTGAAGTTCCTCAATCTATTAAAGTAAAAGTAGGTTAGTACTTCAATCATTTCTTTTCTACTGGTTTACAAGGCATTCATAGTAAGTAGTAAGATGCCTGGGGTTGGGGGATATAGCTCAGTAGTAGAGCACTTGCCTAGCATGCATGAGGCCCTGGGTGTGATAATCAGCACTATGGCATTTGATACATACATACATACATACATACATACATAAATAACATACAGCAAATATGCAAAGATCATGAGTGTTTTTCTCATGAAAAGGTAATGGGCTACAATTAGACTAGCAGAGAACCAATTCTATTAGACTACCTGTTAACTACATTTTTTCACTAAAACATTCTAAATACAGTACCTAGAGAAGTCCATAAGGCTCATTACATAAATTATAAAGCCAAACAAGTTCTAAACAGAGGTAACACATACTACACACCATACGATTGAAATCAAAGTCATATGATGTAATAGTTTTAATAAATAGAAATCTATGTCCTACCAATTTGGTTTGAAACCGTCTCATTGTTATTTGTTTCTCAATAAAATTATGGGAAAAAAAAATAGAAATTTAGGGCTAGCCAGATAGTTCAGCAGATTAAAGTGCAGACACAAGGACCAGGGTTCGATCCCTAGTGTGCTGTGCTGGCCCTGCCCCCTAAATACATTTTTTTAAAAAAAAGAAATCTAAGTCGTTTTAATTTTAAACTATAGTATGCGCTTGGACAAAATATTTTTTTCAAGAAACATTTCAAGTTAATATTGTGAGATTTAATCATCAATCTTTATAATTAAAATGTTAACTTACAATCAATATAAATCATTTTTTAAAAGCCAGAAATGCTGACTGTAATCTGATGTTAGTGGAACTTTTATCAAAACCAGTTAAGACTTCAACACAGATGTGAGGCACACAGAGATATAATTCTATTCTTTCATAACTAGAATTCTGTTATTAAAATAAAGCTAACACTTTACTGTAACCTATTTATTTGCTGTCTTTATATGCACATCACATTTACCCCTGCCTCTTCCACATTATAAGTGTTATAACACATTCATCACAAAAATATGAAGGGCCGGCCAAATAGCTCAGCAGATTAAAGCACCTACAAGCAGGGTCAGGGGCCAGGAGGGTCCATCCCGGGGCCTGCTGTGCTGGCCCTGCCTCCAGGGCGCACTGAGATGGTGACTGAGACTGGGCATGGTGGTGCACACCTGTAATCCCAGTACTTGCGAGGCTGTAAACAGGAGAATCACTACGAGTCTGATCTAGTAGTGAGACCCTGAACACCCCGTAGACCCTTCCCTAAAATACAAAAAGAAAAAAACCAAACAAAGGAAAATCACTTTTAATCTGAATGTTCTTAAACGTCTACATTTTAATTCCCACCGTTAATAGAACATTATTTAATTATATTAAATGGCACTACTAATAATTTGAGAGCTGTTTCTCACTACCTTCCATGTTCTTGCAAAATAAAATCACCTGCATAACACCTTGGTATATGAATATGTATTATTATTCTATTCCTTATTTTTAAGAATTTTAAATGGCGTGAATTTTTCCTTTGTAAAACTTCAGCTTTGGCAGTATCAAAATAATGAACAAGCACATGCTCAAACCACCTCTTCTATACCAAAGACCAAAATGAAAGATAACGCATTTAAAAATAACTAAGTATTCCTCTGTCATTGGACCAGAGAGAAGGAAGTAAATAATAAGTGTTATCAGCCAGGAAACCCATGAAGTCAGTCTAAGGCAGTTGGGAGAATAAAGGGGCATGTCACAGAAGACAAATGTGAAAGTAAGAATGATCAAACACATAAAAAGTCTAACTCCATAAAAAGGGAACAAGAGATTTAACATACATAAGCTTGTGCTTCCAGTACAATAGACCACCAAGCTATTGAAAATTATTGGGCTAAGAGCGATATATGCATACTTATGTTTATAGCAGCACAGTTTATAATAGCTAATTCATGAAAACATCTCAAGTGCCCATCAACGGGTGAACGGATGAAGAAGATGTGGTGTTTTTTTCTTTGTTTTTAATGTATTTGGTTGTTGCAGGGTCTCACTATGCAGCTCAGACTTGCAGCTAGGACTCGTGGTGATCCTGCTGCTTTTAGCCTCCTCAGCGCTGGGATTATAGTCATGTTCCACCATGCCCAGACTCTGGCTGGCACAGCATGTGATGCCAGGGATCAAACCATGGTCCCTGTGCTTGCCTAAGTAAGCGCTTTAGTCTGCTGAGCTATCTCACTGGCCTGGTTGGTTTTTTTTTTTTACACAATGTAGTAAACTTCCATAAAGAAGGATGTTCTTGAGATATTTCTAGGAAAATGAATGCACCTTGATACATACTCTTAAATGAAATAAATCATACACACATATAAATATTGCATTGTTTCTCTGGTGTGAGAAATCAAAAGTACAAATAAGGACCAAAATGTGTAACAGGAATTGTGAAATAGGAAGAAAATATTCAAATGGGGAAGGGAACAAGAGAAGAGAGAGAGAAAGGAAAGCAGTGAAAAGTTTAAAAAAAGGAAAAAAGGAGGAAAATATAGAAACAAAACTTCTGTAAATAAGGAGGGTAGGAAGAGTTGAAAGGAGGGCAGGGCAATGGGAATAAAAACAAATTATATCATATACAGGTAAAAATTCTCTATGATGAATGTGATCATTAAGTATCTAAGGTAAACTAATGAAATCTGATTTCAAAGAAAAAAAAAATCATTGGATTAGCAAAGAAAGCCTACCAAAAGGTCTTTGACTTAAAAAAATCCTAAAAAGCAGTGTAATGGTCCCCTACTTTTCTAGCTTAGTTTTATGAACCCTTAATTCATTCACCCAAGAAACTATCCTGACTAATCACATTAGTCCTACCATGATTAATACTCATAGGGCCGGCCACATAGCTCAGCGAATTGAAGTGCCTGCTTAGGCAAAGTGCAGTGGCCAGGGTTCGAGTCCTGCCCCACCTCCAGGGCGCGCTGAGATAGTAATGAGACTTGGTGTGGTGGCGCACACCTGTAATCCCAGCACTTGGGAGGTTGAAAACAGGAGAATCACTACAAGTCCAATCTACATTGTGAGACCCTGTACTAAAATACATTAGAAAAAAAAAAAAAAAGATTAATACTCATGTTCAGCTCAATCACAGTTAATCTACACCTCTTAGGTCGCCTATCTTCACTAGGATGCTATGGTTACACTGTTTTATCTTCAATTTCTCTCAATGTACCTTTTTATTCTGAACTGAAAACTTATTTCTCAAAGACAGATCTCACTAGAGCCCTATCAAGAAGTAACCTACCTCAGAGGTGGAGATTCTCACCGTTACTGTACTCTTTCATTCTTTAACCGAGCCCCACTTCAGTACCTCTGAAAGCCAAGGATCTGACTTTGGTACCCATTTTCCTTGTTACTTACTATGTTAACTATCTCCCTTTAAATTCTCACTATTTATTCACTGATGACTTTGACACTTGATTCAATATCTTCACCCATCACTGTGCCTGTCATCATGTGACTCCAACCTAAATACAGAAAATAAAACTCTTTGGTCTCTGTGTTTTGTATTTTTTAAACTTCAATCATCATGTTCATCACCAAAAATAACACCATCTTTGAAAATTGCATTTCCTTTTTTTTTGTTTTTAAGACAGGGTTTTGCTATGCAATTCAGGCTGGCTTTGAACTTACATATAGCCCAAAATGGCTTCCAACTCATAGCAATTCTCTTGCCTCAGCCTTTAAGTGCTGGGATTACAGGAATGTAGGTTATTAACATAACTATATACTAACTGAATACTTTGTATCCAGTCCTAGTTAAACTTAACCATATATCACTAGAGGCAAACCTTCAGCATGCATGCTGCAGCAGGCGGTTATTGAAAGCTCTAAAAGATTTATCATTACTCTATAGTTTCTCAATCTAAGTATGGGCTACATGGACCTAATCAACTGAAGAAACCTTAAAAACTGGTCTCACTTTAAATTTGTAGCCACAAAATTTAAATAGGCAACCAAAACTATTACTAATACACTTCTTTAATAAAATCTACACCCCATGCCAAGCATAGGCATATTACTATAATTCCAGCCACATGAGAGGCTGAGAAAAGTTCAAGGCCACCCTGGACAACAAAGCAAATCCCTGTTGCAAAAGAAAATAAAAAGGGCTTGGGAGATAGCTCAGTGGGAAAGCACTTGCTGGACATGTAGAAGCCCCTGAGTTCAATCTTAGTATCACAGAAACAGCAACACATTGTGTGGCCTCATTCTGATTTAAATTATTTTCTTATCCTCCTTTTTCGATATTTTATTGTTATTTTCCCTCTATTAACTCATGATCCCTAGTGACCTTGCCTCCATCAATAGAATGGTTAAAATAAAAATATTCTCTTTTCCTGTTTTCAAGCCCATCATCCTTCTTACAACTGTATTCACTCCACTTTATCCTGTACCATCTAAGGACAGTCCCTATAGTTAAACTAACTCCTTCAAGACTACTCCAAAATAGTGTTTCTCAAATTATTTACAATAAATATCTATTTAAAAAATGCCAGCAGGCCATGGTAACATACATGCATAATCCTAGCATGGAAAAGGTTTAGGCAGGAGGACCTCCAGTGTGAACTAGCCTGAACTATACAGCAATACTTTGTCTTTAACAACAGAAACAAACACAAGCTACAATATGAACATTTTCAATAACAAAATTTCTTAAGATTAACAATACATATAATCTTTCATAAAATAGATCACCTAAATTTTTTTATGAACCTAATTATCTAAACAGCAAAAACAAAGTACAAAAAGAAAACTACAGAACAATATCCTTCATAAATATAGACATAAAAACCTTTTTAATGGAATATTGGCAAAAACAGAATATGTAAAAAGAGTATGCTTACAGACTACAACCAACTGGGGTCTAGAGATGTAAGGCTAATTTGGTCTTTAAAAAACATCACTCATAGTCTCTTATATTAACAGGTTATAGGAAA